AGTAAAGTAAACAGCAAGAAGTATGAGAGGAAAGAAGAAAAGAGAAAAGAGAGAAAAGAGAGAAGGGCTGGTTCGAATTAGAGAAAGTCCATCCCTAGATTCGGCCAGACCTGTTATTATATTATTAACTTATTGGAAAAGACTTGAGTGCCCTTCTTTAAGTAAGAGGCACTCGAACTAACATAACAGTACACATTAACATTCTCAACAGGTACAAAGACTGAAATACCCCTTCACTAACACCACTAACACATGAATACTGAAAATGCATGCCTAGTGAAACCAATATCAACATTCAAGCCAGCTATGAATTCAAGGACCTGGTTCTTCGCAATAAACTCTTCATATTGTTCAAGTGGACCTTTCCATTTAAGTTCCTCTAGATGATCAATTTTCTCCCAGATTGCATGTAAAAGGAGAAATACATGGCAGCCAACTTCTCCCTTGTGTCATATTACTAGCTTCTCTCTTAAGCTTATAGCTCCTGGTAGTGTTCTATGATTGAGAATAGGTGGCATAAACTTTATCTGGGATCTCGTTGGTTGTAGATAAAAACATGTGATTTCTGGATGTATGGGGCTACATAGAACACACAACACACAAACCAAGACATAACCAGTAACCAGTAAATCTTCCTGCTCACACCTGGAAAAAGAAGAATCATCCAATTAGGGTCTTACCTCCCTTTATATGAGGTATCCTAACTTTCCCATACTTTCAATAGATTGTTTTTCTGATTGGGATCATTCCAAGAAACTACTTCCATATCCAACTTAACTACAATCACCAACTTTCAAGTCAATGTGTCCAACCATTAGTAACAACCAATTCATAATGCAATTTTGCAGTTTACATAGTTATCCAAAAAAATTAGCAGTCCATGTATGAAGAAACACGGTTCCACGCTAAATTTGAGATTTTTTTTTCTAACATCCATGTTAGATATGTCAGCTGTTACTGTTCTTAATTGGGGCAATTTGAGATTTTCCACACAACTCTATTTCTTGCCACATGATAAGACCACTATCAACTATCTACTAGATTGTGGACTTTTTGATTAGGCCAGCATTGAGTACACATAGATCTAACATCAGAAATTAGAGACAACGCAAGCTACACACTTGGTGATCTTAAAGATGGGTTAGTTCATATCCTTCAATTTGTCCTAAAATAGTGCCCCCTTTTCATCTTATTACCAGATTATTATCTTATATACCTATTAAGGCTTTGTGATTGTGCTCTTAGATCATATCCTTCAGTTGATGAGGTATTAAAAGCTAGATAATGTCATTTTCTGTTCCTGATCGGATCAAATTGAGATTTTCCACACACAACTCTACTTCTTTTCACATGGGAGATGATAAGACCAATATCAATTGTCTACTAGATTGTGGACTTGTGTATTGGCCTGGCATTGAGCTCACATTCCATACACTATCTCACCCTTTATTGACCTTTTTTACACCGAGTAGAATTCTCTAAAGTTTCAAATTTAAAATTTAAGAATCGTTGTAAAAGAGTTTATTTTTGGAAAACATGGCTTCTGATTTATAATTTAATAAATATGGGATCAAAAGTCAAGTAAATGGAGCACTTTTGAGTGTGAAACAATATTGCCATAAAACTCCTTGGTCATACATATTTCTCTAAGTAGCAGCTAGTGAACTCATGCCATCCTGTTGTAATTTTCATGACCATCTTCCTATGAAATTTTCTTCTACTCATTTACTTGTGCTCTTTTTGGTGAATTTTAGAGATACAATCATACTGAGTACTGTGTGTCTGTTGAAGTCCTCGGTACTAGGATATTTCTTCACTAGTCAAAAAGAAAAACCTAAACTTGTAATTTTCATTTCAGGATTTTCTAGCTTGTCAAATTAGGAAAAAGACATTGGGAAAAGCCTAAGCTATTTAGAACCATGAAGAATAGAGAGATGCTTTTATGTTTATACTGTTCATGACACTATGTTGTTATGAAGTTTATTGAAACTTTTCTGGTCATATATCCTTCAAAAAATTTTCATTAATTTGTTTTGGGTCAATCCTTAATGGAAAATTTTACGGTCTTTTCCTCTTTTCAGCTTACCAGGGCCTACTTTTCTTTCTTGGAAGTTCTATTCAGCAGCCATATTGGTTTTGTATTAAAGTTAGATACAAGCACCTTCATGCATATTGCTGGATCTCTAGAATCTGGTTTAAAAGGTCTTGATGCTAATATCTCATCACAGGTATGCATCACACTAAATGTTTACTTATATTAAAGGCCACTTGCTTATCTTTATTTAATGATGAAACTTGACTTTAGCAAGTGACCTCATGTCAATATAACAACTTTCAGATGGGTTCCTAGGGAACTGAATGTTATGGCTGATTCTTTACCAAATTCAGGGGTGGATGGGGCTTCTTTGTATAGTAGGAACAGTTTGCCTTTGTATTTTTTTGGCTTTTTTGGGCTTCTAGTTTCTATTTTTTTTCTTTTTACTTTCTCTCATGTACATCCCCCCCCCCTCTTGGTATAAATTCTATTTAATATATTTTTTTATTTTATTGGTATATCTTCTGCAAAGCATGTGCCTGTCTGCTAGTTTCTGTTGTACCTTTTTCCCTATGTTTATTTGTTTTACTTACTAGGACATTAATTGCAGTAGTTGTAACATAGAAAGATGTTAAAAGTCATGCATATATTTTTCAGTGTCAATCAGGAACCTGAATTATGTATCAGTTTTATCTTGTGATCTTTTGGAGGCCAGCCTGTGCACTGGGGTGTGCATTTATGATAATTTAATTATTTTTGGCAGTGTGCATCAGCTGTTGATAATTTGGCTGCTTTCTATTTTAACAATATTACGGTGGGAGAGCCACCCACATCACCCGCCGCATTGAGTCTTGCTCGACATATTGCTGAATGCCCCAGCTTGTTCCCAGAAGTAAGTCATGGATTGTTTTGATTGTAAAATAGTCATTCTTATATTTATGTGGTTGTCTTTCTGTTAATTTGATATTTGCATAATGAAAATCAAGATGATCTTTGTGTGTGTGTGTATAATTGATTATCTTTATCCTTTTTTTTTTTAATTTCTCTTTTCCCTGTGACTTGTTACATTCGGAAAAGAAATTGATTTTCAAATTTGGGAAACAAAATGCTCAAGCCTAACAATGCAACTTGGGCCTGGATTGGATCATGTTGTCTTTAGTCTGGGCTTGGGCTGGGTGTGGGTCTTGGAACAAGTGAACAACAGACTAGACTGCTTCTGAACCCATTGCAGCCTAAGTTGTGATTTTTTTTTGACAATTAATTAAAAACTTTTATTAAAATTCAGCAGAAACAACTTATACATTGAGCTTCCCACATAAGAGGCATGAGGCGCAGCCTCAAAAACAGTTGTGAAGTTTCTTTTGGTCCATAGAATTCTTGGCATGCTCTGTTCCTGGTGTTACTGTCTACCATTGTATTTTCTCTGGTTCTAGGACATTTTTTATTTACAAAACAAGAAGGGCCATTTGTTGTAAATCTTGAATGTGATTTTCAACCAGAAGATGTGAATCTGTTGCAAGTTCAGGAACATACTAGTTGAGGGGCTTTATATTTTATTTTTATTTTGGATGGTAACAGGATTTCAGTATTGTATTTTTTTTTCTTTTGATAGGAAACGGAAACTTTCATTTATGACATTAAAAAGCACATCTGTCACCACCCAAAGGATGGATAGAAAATCCAATTACATTAACAATCCTACAAACAAGCGCAAAACAAAGCCTCCCATTCCTTGCTTAGCTAAAGTATCAGCCATCCCATTTGCTGATCTTCTTGCCCATTTGAACTGCACCCTTAACTCCCTTGCTAAGTTCAAAATTTCCCTTAGCGGTTGCATGAAAGACCATGTGCTCAAACTTCTTGCTTGAATCCAACCTATTACCTGTTTGCAGGCACCTCCCACTTCTAATTGTTGTATTCCCCACTGTTTTGCCAATCTGAGGCCTTGAAGTAGGGCCTTTATTTCTTCCCCTAGAGAGTCTCCCACCCCAATTGGACCCGAGTAGAGGGCCAGCACTCTTCCTTCCTCATCTCTGAAGACTCCCCCAGTTCCCGAAGGACCTGGATTACCTAGAGAGCTTCCATCAAAATTCAATTTTACTCTAGTCTATAGAGGTGGGGACCAACACTCCTGAACTATAGGAGAAGGAGGAAGAGGAAGTAGCTATAGCACTCGAACCTTTGATGAGATCATCATAAGTCCTTGAAGAGTAGCTAAACTTTCAGCCAATGTATAATTTTGTTGGTAACGTCCTCAACAAGTGATTCCTTGGATTTTTCTTGCCCTTGGAAAATATTGTTATTTCTCTCCTCCCAAACCAAAGAGAGAAGAGAACTAGTCCCATAAATAAGAAGCAAAAGGACAGGAAATTAATAGGTGAGCCACTGTCCCACCACTCCTTAAGAAAGGGCAATAGACATTAGGGGAGAGGCACTAGTCTGACCTTTTTCTTTGAAGCACATCCAAAGTATTGATCTTTTGGAGAACCACTTCTTAGCAAAAAGCCCTAACCTTTGGTGGGAGGCACAACAGTAGATTGTAGTAAAGCATTAAAGAATGAAGAGCAAGAAATGAACCCTAAGGAAGACTTCGACCAAATTCTACTTTCGGACAATGATCTAGGAAAACTAAAGTTAACAAAGAAAACACCTTGTCTACACAATTCACTTTTAAATCCCTCTGTCCTCTCCTTGGACCCAGATCCCAATATCTCTCAGACCCATGTAAGGAGGAAATAACCTTGAATTTATTTAAAGATTGAATATGGAAACAAGGATCCCCAAAACAGAATTTTGTTACCTGAGCATACACTGTACCCGATGAAGGGTTGAAAGGCAGGCAAGACTTCAATAGTGGCTTTCCAAGGAGAAATATGGGAAGCCCTTGGGCTTGGGTTGACACTAGCATCCCATCCATTTGCTGTAAGGAAAACCTCCACAACCACTTTCCTATCAATGCTAAATTTCTTAACCCAATATTACCAATGCCTAGCCCCCCTTGTTACCTCTTCCTAGAAACTACTACCCACTTCACTTAATGATCCTTTTTTGAGTCACCTGGTTCCCAAAGAAAATCTCATTATCTTTTCGACTTGTTTCGTAACCTTGGGAGGTAATTTGAAGGTGGACAGAACACCAATCTCATTAACAGGAACCTTAGAGAGTCTGAACTTTTTGTAGCGTCTGAGCTGTTAGGATTGCTGAATTCAGTTTTCTTGGGAGAAGGTGGGTCAGATTCTAGGATTTGGGGTCCTAATTCTGACGGGTTATTTTCTTGTAAATCCCTTCTACAATTGTTGGTTGCCACTTCCTCTTCTCATCCTTTCCCAGTCAAAGAAATTTGGTGGCCTCTTACTCCCCCTATGAGACTGCTTTCGACCTTCTAATATCTTGCCCTTTTGTCAGTTTTATTTGGAATTGGTTTACTTCCCTTTCTGGGTGCAGGTGGTCTTCTCCTGACAAGTTGGAAGGTTTATTCAGCCATAATGGTATTTGTGGCATGAAAAGGAGGGGTAGGATTCTATGGAGGTGTACTAGAGAAGCACTACTTTGGACTGTTTGCGAGGAAAATAATATTTGAAGGAAAAGAAAAATGTAAGGAAGCATTAGTTGAAACAATAACATTGAGGGCGGCACATTGGGTAAAATGCTTGAAGTTGTTTTCAGGTTTTAAGGTCAAAGATTTTTTAGGGTTTAGGGACTTATTGTTGCCTCCTCATCTACGAGACAACAATTTTTTGAGGCGTGGTCTCTGCCAATAGATGGTTGGAAGAAGCTGAACTTTGATGGGAGTTGTGTAGGTAACCCAGGCCCTTCAGGCATTGGGGGACCATTAGAGATGAAAATGGAAACATTATTGCTCTGTACTCCAGTCCTGTGGAGCAGGGTGATGTGGCAAGGGCAGAGTTTCTAGCTGCAGCATATGGAGTTGAGAAGGCTAAAGAGTTGGGTATTAATAGATTGATCATTGAGGGAGACTAAAAAATTGTGATAAAATGGTTGCAGAAAGGGGAAGGGGTGACATGGCAGTTGAAGAATGAATTTTGAAGACTTAAATTGATGTCAAGGAACATGTCAATCCAGATGGGGTGGGTTAGGAGATCTGCCAACAGTTTGGCAGATAGCTTAGCAAAGCAAGGGGGTTCAAAGAACACATATGTTTTGGGCACATTTGTAATTCTGTTCTGGGTCAGCTTACTAAAGTTGGCTTCTTTCACAACTTGTTGTATCCTAAAGTTTTCTAATTAATGAAATCTCTTCAGAGTTATTGATAAAAAAAAGATATCATCTGCAAACTGTAAATGAGTAACAACCACTTCTTGTTGCTTTGATCTTTTGATATTGTATGTTACTATCAGTGAATTGATGCTTCGATCGTTTGATATTCCTCGACTAGGGGAATCCAAGAGTACCTCCACCCAATAGCTGTAGTGTAGACTAAATGGTTTTTGCATGTCAGTTGAGTGTATCTTTAAGAATATATATATAGTTATATATCATACAAGCCAAAGACAAGATTGCAATTGCTGACTGGCAGAAGGTTGGAAACGTTGATAAGATAGAAAACTACCGCAACATAGTCTGATAGTATGTATCTCTAACTATATTGATATCTATATGATCAAATGTTTTAAAAAACGACCTGGAACCGGAGTTGTTCTGGCCACCAGTTTTTGGGTCGACGGTTTGACCGTCCGGTTCGAATGGATGTCCCGTTTGGAAAAAAAAATTAAAAATAATTAAAATAAAAAATGACCAAAAAAACGTTGAACGGGTCGATGGTTCGATTGGTCGGGTCAACGGGTCGTTGACCAATTCAACGGTTTTTGGCCAAGGATCGGGTTTGGGGTAAAATGGATCCGGTTGCCTACACGGTTCCCAGGCCGTCCGGGTCAACGGCGGTTCGAAAACCATGATATGATCTAGGAACATTACTGGTGAGCTTAAGTGTATATGCCTTTTTTTCAATGCAGTTTTAATGGAGCTTGTGTTCTTTCATATCAAGTTATTAAAAAGTAGTATTTACCAATTCATTTGTGCTTTTTCACTTGACTGTCTATGGTTTAGGGAAAACTGTAGTCAAGATTTATCTAGATCTTGAAGGAGAGAATGATTATATTAGAATTTAGGGTAAAATATAAAAATTCCCCTGGATTTTTTGACAATCGTATAAACCTCCCCTGTGTTTTGACATTAATAAAAACGTCCCCTATAGTTTTGAGAAAATATACAATTACCTCCCTTCCCTTGACTTTCCAATAGCAAAAACATTCAAGTTACAAAAATGCCCTTAGTATGGTGGTACCATAAAAAAGTGGGTAAAATTTTTTCTCCATTCCCTTTCCAAACGATTTTAAGCATTTTATCAACTTGCAATCAAGAGGTTTATGGGCAAGTAACATTTGAATCTTGATGTACCACACTTCTACTGGTATAACGTACGCTAAAATAAGACTTTTTTAATTCCAATAATTTGATGAGCATAAGAGAGATCAGAATGCAATTTTCCATTTCCACTGGGAAGAAGTATTCGTTAAAGAGCTGATGTTGATGGCTTTTGGGGGTAGAAATGGTTATATTTGTGTTGAAAGAATGAACAAGTTTGTGGAGGAGTTGAACATGGACACACAAAGCTTATCGAATTTCGTTTCTTTCTTCTCCAAATGGCTGCAATTGTTACTTATCCTGCAATAGCCTCCATCCCTGAAAGAATATATATCTTAAAATCTCACCAAGACACCTTCCACCACTCATCTTCTCCCAGCAACTTCGCTTCAAGTCCAAGCCTTCTTCCCTAAAAGAATGCATCTTTCGATGTAGTCTCTCATTCCTTTCATCAGGGTTCTCTAGTAGCAACTTCTTCTCATTTTCTCTGCAGTAGCAGCAACAATA